AGTGGTAAAGTCAAATGTCATAAAGTCAAGTGTTCGTAAAGTCAAGTGTACTTGACCCCATGTATTCTCTATGTATTTTCTCTGCGGGGCTCCGCACGGAAGAACCCTTCGCGATGCTTTCGGGAAAACAGAATAAAAGTAATCATGAGAATAAGAACAATCGTGAAAAGTTCTTATCAGTATCATGATTAATATTGTTGCAAGCAATATTATCGTTGAAAATCCGAAACCCTAAACCCCAAGCCNNCCCAAGCCCTAAACCCTATACCCTAAGGTTTGGATTTCAGTGTTCCGGATCCCTGCAAGGCCTCAGGTCCATACTACCCTGGATGTGGTTCGGCAAGCCATCATTCCGACGACCCAGGCCCCGAAGAAAGGGGGAGGGTAAGCCTGCGCCGAAGAAGGCTACTGTTAATCAGCATTAATATTGTTATTGTGATTTGTTATTTTTGATATTGCAATTATGATTAGTATGATTACCAGTATGACTTTTCGAAACTAGTATTGTTCCTAAGTACATTTACAAGTCTAGTTATGATTCTAATATCAATAGTAATCGTAGGTCTTATTACTCTTATTTTGTGTTGTTAGAGCTCTTCTTACTGCTTCCACTACTATTTGCAAAGTCGTAGCTTTTGGGTGTTAACCAGCAATTTGAGAACCTTGGATTTGAATTGGAGCTATGGGCTTGCTCGTACCACTGCCATCCACCAGGTGCTTCTCGCGCAGGGAAGGGGGTGGGGTGGGGGCAGTTTCCTTTCTGCTAGTGGCCTCTTCCCTCCTAATCGCTTTTACATAAGCCCATCTAGACCGCAAAGCCACAAACCCTGTGGACACTAAACCCTCATGCTGAAGCCCACCTAAGGTAGGGGCCTAAATAACTTACATACCATTTTGGGGGGTTCCTTGTTNNACATCCTATTCTAATTGTTAAGGCCCCTATATTAGACCCCCAGTGAAACCCAAACGCCTTCGATCCCCGGCCCCTCCGAAACCCCTTAATTGAGCCCTCCTGGACCTTGACCCCAACCAAACCCAAGCCCCTCCATTTCAAAACCAACCCAGGCACACCCCCCTTCTAGCATCCCTTCTACTAGTATCCATCCCTTCTAATATCCCTTCTACTCCATCCCTTATAGTATCCCTTCTAGCATCCCTTCCACTAGTATCCATCCCTTCTAATATCCCTTCTACTCCATCCCTTATAGTATCCCTTCTAGTATCCCTTCTACTAGTATCCATCCCTTCTAATATCCCTTCTCTACTCCATCCCTTATAGTATCCCTTCTCCTTCTACTAGTCTCCATCCCTTGTAGTATCCCTTATAGTAACCCTGAAAGTAACCTTATAGGCTCGAGGCAATATTACAAACCGGCGCAGGGGCAGCCCTAATCCCCGAGCCAAGAGCCAGGTTACCATGAGGGCTACAAGCCTGGATGCTGTAGGGGATACTCTTAAGGGACACTATTAAGGGATATCATCACGGATACTAAAAGGGGTACCATGAGGGTTGCCATCAGGGTTACTATAAAGGCTGCGAGGAGGGATGCTATAATCGGATACTCTAATGGAAGTCAGCTCCCTCTCCAATCTGTGAACCCTAAACCCTCAACCCTAAACCCTGTACCCTAAAAGAGGTACGGAGCTGTGCATTTTCGTGCATCGTCAGTGAGCCTCGGCTTCCCGACAAAATGGTGACGCACTCCTGGCAGAACCTGTTCCGCGACTTGGTGGCTGCCGTGACACTTGACCTCACGCTGGGGCTCCGGAATGGACTTATACTCATTTAAGCTTCAGTGGTTTTCCTCGCGGTTTTGGGGGTCAGCGATGTTTCGCCAAGCACAGATTTGGCGAAATCTTGCTCGTCGGATTCTCTCGTGCGCTATATTCCCAGAGAGCCCAGTACTCCTTCATTAAGGAATATACCTTAAATCATAATATTAAGGCTCCTATAATCTAAGGTACATTCCTAAACCCTACACCCTAAACCCTTATAGATCCGTTTAAGGCCCCTTTAATTTAAGGTATATTCCTTAATTAAGGGGTATTGGGCTCTCTGGATTCTAAACCCTAAACCCTAAACCCCTAAACCCTAAACCCTAAACCCTAAACCCTAAACCCTAAACGCAGCAGCCCCAGGATCGCTGATGCCGTTGGCGAGAACAGCTTCGAAATGGTGGCAAACCTGCTGGAGCACGATGCACACATTTTGGCGAGGATGATGAAGCTCGGACCGGTTTAGGGTTTAGGGTTTAGGGTTTAGGTGGGGAGGTTGATGAAACTCGGACCGGTTTAAGGTTTAGGGTTTAGGGTTTAGGGTTTGGGGTTGAGGTGGGGAGGTTGATCAAACTCGGACCTCAAGCAGCGCTCTTGGGTTTAGGTTTTAGGTCTTAGGGTTTAGGGTTTCGAGGCTTTGCATAGTGTGGAACACCGCCAAACAGTGGCCGTGTCTTCCAAGGAAGCAGAGACACACTGCTGATCGGGTGTATTGGATCTGTGCCTTCGCAGTGAACCAGCATTCAGCCATCTGCGAGAACCGCGACGGCGATTGTGATTCCTTGACTGGCCAGGCACACGGCTGAAAAGCAAATCGTCCCTGTTGAGGACTCGAAACCTCATAGTCTCATGTGCAAAGTTTAGAGATGCTAGTGCCTGATTCTTAAGGGATGTACTGCCTCGGCTGGGCGAGGGTGCGGGCCTGAGAATTACCTAGCATATCCTACCACAACTCCTGCACGCCTGTGGATGGTTGATGATTCGTTTCGAGCGCTTTTATGCACTCCCCAAGGATTCTTACTGATAAACCCTAAACCCTAAACCCTAAACCCTAAACCCTAAACCCTAAACCCTAAACCCCAAACCCCAAACCCTAAACCCTAAACCCGAAACCCTAAACCCGCATATGTGGAGAAGCAACTTGTGCATGAAACTCAAACTAAGAATGTTTCATTCTTATTTACTGCCAGTCCTTCTCTATTCTATCGAGGAACTAACATTAGAGGACAGGCACCTTCGCACAATAGACGGTTGGTATTTTAGATACGTGCGCAGATGCATGGGCATCAAGGCTTCGCATTATTCTAGAATCCCCAACCAGGGAGTTTGGATCTTAGCTGGACGCCCCACCCTGCCATCACAAACCCTGCTGTCACAGCAGCAGTCCAGATTAATCAGAAGTACACTGGCTACT